CAGAAGGCAAGAGGAAGAGGTGTAGACTGGTGGCTCTGTTTCTGCTGAAGAGAAAAAGTTTGCGTTAGAGCGGCTATAATGGGGATGGTCAGGCTTGACCACACTCCTCTCTATTTCTGCTCTCATGACAGATACTGTCTCATCAATGGAGTCTTCAAGAATAGGATCCACAGACTACCACCAAGAATCACAACCAAAGAGAGGGTCAACAAAGTCTCCCTACTTCAGGACATGAGGGCTCTCTCAGCTCTCAATTTAGATCAAGGTTTGATACAAGCCACCAATGCAGAGGTTAGATTTCCTTGCAAGCTGTTTAGTCCTACATAGGAACAATGGTATGCACAGAAAAAAACAATTGCTAGAGCAAATTGTGTCTCCTACTGATAAAGTAGAAATTCCTTAGAGAATTACAAGGCTAGAAACATTTACAGAAGCCAACTCCAAATTCCTTTAACAATGGACTGGCTCACGGCTCTCAATGCCCAAATTTGTGTTAGCAGCCAAGTTCATGACCACGGGGCTCCCACAATTCTGATGACATCTAGCTGGAGGCTAAAACATGCCAAGCGAATGAAGGAAAAGAGTATATACTCACCCAAGGACAGAAAATTGCTATAAATTTCCAGCATCACTTCTTTGTACAAACTCTTCTGCTCAGAGCTCAGGGTCCTCCATTCTGTCTCCGTGAAGTCCACACTGACATCCTCAAAAGTGACAGGTTCCTATAATAAAGCAGGCATAGATACAGTCATGAGCAGAGTTATTTGTCCTGAAGAGTTGCATCAGGTAAGTTCAACCGCTTATGTTCAGGAAACAGTTCTCAATAGCTTAGGTCTTCTGCATAAGATTATACCTAATTTTGTGATAAAGTTTAAGAGCAACAGTTAATGACCAACAACTGCTGGTTCTCTCACTCATGTGAGTTCCTTATTTGGGACCCTGTGACTCCAGGGCCACTGTTCAAACACTTGCCCAACTAATTATCAGACATTAGGTGGAACTCTTGTGCCTAAGTGGTCAGGAATGCCCTGCCAACCCAAAGGTAGCCCATTTGAACCCAGCAACCACTTACTGCTAGAAAGATGAGCAATCTCTCCTCTTGTGATTTAGAGTTTCTGGAAACTCAATGGAGGGTTAGCTAAACGGGAGTTCAAACCTGGTGGCATATAATTACATGGTTTTTTATTAGTTTTCAGAGTAATCTCCATCATATCTCCCACTTTCAAGAAATATTATTTTTAAAACTTCATTATGGCCATAGTGAGTTTCTGCATTTACAGACTAGCTTTCCCTGTTCTGTTGTGCTGAAAAATTTTCATAATATTCTTTTATAGACTGACCTTTAGAAATGAAAAATATAACGATAATGCCAATACGAATATTATCAATTCTAATTTCAAAAACGATTTGCAGAACCTAATGAGGTCGAGATTGTTGTTGATCTAGAACTGCACAGAACGGAATCTAACTAGAAAGGCTGAGAAAATGAAGTTACGAGACTGTTGTTATTGTAATGTGCCATCAAATTGCCTTTGACTAATAGTGACCCCATGTACAAGAGCTCTGAACCCTGCCCTATCCAGTGCCAGTCTCATTGTCTCCAAAATACCTGGTACTCTTTTATGCTGTCCCTCTGCCCTTCCAAGCATGGCCTTCTCCAAGGACTGATCTCTCCTGGCAATAAGCCCAAAGTAAATGAGACAAAGTTTCAAAGTCCTAGCCTCTAAAGTGCAGCTTGGTTTTACCTCCTCCAGGACAGATCTGTTTGTTCTCTTGGTAGTCCAGTGTATGTTCAATACTCTGCTTCAGCAACACAATTTAAAGACATTGACTTGTCTTCTGCCATCCTAGATCATGTTATAGAAGTATCGCTGGTGCTCAATATTGCATTTTTTGAAAGAAGTTTTTCTTTCTTATTCCTACTTTAGCAAACAGGGTTGTGTCCTCTGCATAATGCAGACTGCTGAGGAATATTCATCCAACCTAGATGCCACACTTCTCCTCATAGAGCCCAGCATCCCAGATAATTTGTCCCACATATAGATTGAAAAGATATGGAGATAGAACACATGCTTGATGCACACCCTTCCCAACTCTGAACCATGCAGTGTTTCCTTGCTCTGTTCTGACTGCCTCCTGGTCCAAGTAAAGGTTTTACAAAAGCACAATCAAGTGTTCTGGGATTCCCATTCTTCTCAGAGTCAGCGACCGTTTGTTGTGATCCACACAGTCAAGTACCTTTGCACAGTCAATGAAAAACAGACATTCTTCTGGTACTCTCTACTTTCAGCCAAGATCCATCTAACATTAGCTATAATATCCCTAGTGCCATGGCCTCCTCTAAATCTAGTCTGCACTTTAGGAAGTTCTCTGTGGATGTGCTGTTCCAGTCGATTTTGGATAATCTTCAGCAGAATCTTGCTTGCATGTGATATCAATCATGATGGATGATGAAGAGACTGTGATTGTTGACAGATCCAGTTTGCTAGGCTCTACAGTCAACAGTCTTTGGTACCAGAAGCCAGGAAATTAAAAGATGAATTGCACTGGGAATGTCGGCTGTCAGAAACCCCTCCAAAGTACTTAAGACCAACACTGTCAGTCTGGAGATTAAGGTGCACCTGATACAGACCTGGTCTTTGCAATTATTTGCAATGCATCAGAGAGCTGGACAACGACTAGGGATGATGGATGGAGAATTGATGCCTTTGAGCTGAGGTGTTGCAGAAGAGAACTGAATATACCACGGACTGCTAGGAAAACAAACAAGTTTATCCTGGAAAGGGTGAGGCCAGACTGCTCCTTTGAGGCAAGGACTCTGAAGCTCTGCCTAACATACTCTGGACATGTTGCAAGGCAGGATCAGTCCTTGGAGAGGGATGTCATGCTTGGGAGCATTGAGGGACAGCACAGGAGAGGAAGACCCTCGATGAGATGGATTGATTTGGTCACTGGGGTAATTGGGATAGGCATGTCGGAGACAGTAAGATTGGCAAGCAATAGAGCAGGGCTTACAGCTATCGTACACAGGAACGCTATGAGTTGCAGGCAACTCAACAGCACATAACAATTCCTATTTCATGACATAGCATATAGCTGAATATAAATGAATAAAATTCTACACTCCGTAGAGTCATTGGATGAATTGCACCACCTTAGATGACAAGGATTTCATGTTTCTGGCAGTTTGAACCCTCCAGCCTCTTTAGGGGGAGAAGGATGGGTAATCTACTTCTATGACTTAAAGCCTTGGAAATCTGAAGGAAAATGGAGTTCTGTCAACAAGGCTGGAGAGCTGTATGCACCATATAGATGAGGGTGCGTTTCACAGCTTGGCAAGATAAGGTCTGAATTAGCACAGGGGTGTGAAATGGCACATGTGGAACCAGGTGGCTTACAGAACTGGGTGTGGGGACGTTAGCTACGTTGTGCTGTCACCTCTCTGTGTCAGCACTATTGCTTCACAAGAGCAACCATTCATCGTGTCCCAGCTGGGAGGGCCATGAAAACTCAGAGGGATCTCCAGCTGGACTCCACCTGCAGCATCATGGTAGAGGTGAGGAGTCACAGCAGGCTGTACCCTGACCAGTAAAATGAAGACGGGATCAAGGTGCACCCCGAGCCTCCCCAGTGTTCCCTCTGACCATGCAAGGTCTCCTATAGGCTCAGGAGTAAGTAATATAAGAGTTACTTTCCCTAAAAAGAAAGATACCAATGAAATAATTTTTCTTTTACTTTTCAAAGAGAAGAGCTAACTGGGGGGATGGGTGGGCAGGGGGGAAAATGCAACAATGAATGTATGGAAACCCAAAATCTCTGTAAATGTAAGAAAGAGTGAGAGAGGAGAGAGAGAGAAAAGAGAGAAGAGAGAAAGAGAGAGAGAGGGAGAGAGAGAAAGAGAGAAAGAAAGAAGAGATGGGAGAGAGGGGAGGGGAGGGAAGGAAGGAAGGAGAGAAAGAAAGAAAGAGAGAGAGAGAGAGAGAAAGAAAGAAAGAGAGAGAGAGAGAGAGAGAGAAAGAAAGAAGGAAGGAAGGAAG